AATACGCAAACAACAATTAACAACGAGGTAACAAAAACAATTAACGAAAATAAACGAATTAAAAAGTTATCACTAAAGTTATTGCTCTGAAGTGTACGGAAGCCGAATGATACGTTCGAAACCAATAAACGACGAGAATTGACTGATGAACCAATCACGTTGAAAGTCAGCGTGGTCAACGTCGTATCGACCAATAAAAAGTGTGCTCACGACTTATGTCGGCAATTATACTCATGTTTTCTTTAAAACGTCTTATAATCCTGTATTTTAATCATTGAGCTATTATGTACTACGTACTAGAGGCGACACTGCATTCAGCTACTCTGTTCCACTCAACTGCAGTGCATACACCCTCCGATAGGAGTAATAGTGTTCTGTGGTCGCTAGGCGCTTGTAGAGTTGTCACGTGTTTTGTTGATTTAAAAAAAATCTCTTGATAAAAATATGCCGTCGTGTGTACTTAGATATTGCACAAATAATTCAAGAAATGTCAGTAAAAACCAAGGAATTACTTTTCATCGGTTAATAAGATACTTAATCAATAAAATGTATTATAGATTAATAATAAAACAAATTATTCCTAAGACGCCATCTTGTGTCATGTAATATAGATTATGAAATAATTTGTTCAGATGCGACATTTCTGTGGGTACTTAAGTATAGGACGAATATATTATTATACACATTTTTTTGTAGAAAAATATATGAGATCATAATTAGGCTAAATTTTTTATATTTAAATCTGCTCATTATTCTTTTATTTTATTTTTAGGTTTCCACATCAAAGTCAAAGTGGAATAAATTCGTTCATTCTTAATACTCGCGTGCCCAGCATTTATGAACGACTGTTATTCCAATTGAAATAAATATATTTGTAATTTAAATTTAATATTAATAAGTTTTGTTAAACATACATTTAATATGTTTATATATATATATATATATATATATATATATATATATATATATATATATATATATATACTCGTAATATATACTCGTTTCGCTGAATTGCTACATTTATCCTTTGTGCGATAAGAGAACCACCCCTCTTATGACCAGCAGCGACAACCAGTTGCGGATACAGTTCCTTTAGAAACTTCACCGTAGGTCCAATGGACCTGTAGTCTCTACAGCAGGTGGCACTTTGTAGTCATCTCGCAATGACTTATATTTATGCCACTTTAAAATTCAATTGAAATTTTAAAGTTACAGCCTATATACGTCCCACTGCTGGGCTCAGGCCTCCCCTCATTTCTGAGAGGATTTAGGGCAAGGAAGTGTCCGCCGCGCTGCCCAAATGCGTGTTGACGAACTTCACATGTCTTCGAAATATTTTTTTTCTTATTCCTTAGACATGCAGGTTTCCTCACGATGTTTTCCTTCGCCGCCGAGCACGTGGTAAATCAGCAGTTAAAATTGCAATTAACAATTTCATTGGTGCCGGCGGGGATCGAACCCGGGTTACTCGCGTTCTGTTATATTTACAGCGAGCGTTAACCACTGAGCTACCACGGCTTGAAATTTTAAATAATATTTTATAATAAATATAACACGAAAAAGTACACACTACTGCCAGTTCAATTGATATTTGAGATTCTTTATTGCTAGATCAATTGATATTGCTTATACTTGATGGCTAGCCAAGAAAGGACGATTGTAAGATAGCCTCATTATTTTGATTTTCTTATAATAAATATCGTCTGCTGCTAGATTAATAATGATTAAGGGGACTACAGGAGCTAAACGCAAGTTTTATAATGTTTTATAATGTATACCAGAAAATATATGATATTTTTCTGTATATATGCTAGTTAGGTGTTGTCTTGAAAACATGATACTATTAATTTTATACAATAGAAAAAAATCACAAATATAACTCTAAAAATTTCTTTTAACCTGTAAAAACCATACTAATATACATGCATTCATTCTGATTTTTAGATTATTATACAAGCTACATTTTAACTTATTGTTGTTTTAATTTTTTAGTCCAATTAAAAGATTTTTTTTAAATCGCATATTTGTACACTTCGTAAATATATTCGTAAATAAGTACGAATGCGTGCGTAAACGCCTGTGTACAGACACTGCCACAGAGTACTTTTTGTATACCGAACGAACACGATCTAGGATATAAGATTCCGAACACGATCGCTAGGGCGTGCATTGTAATGAATTTATGCTTTCTATCGATATTGATAAATTTTTTTCGCTTTTTATTTTTTTATTTTACATACTTTCAGTATCAGTAACTAGCTTTTGACTGTGACTTAAATTTTCCTGTGCAACTAAGAAATGCAATTTTAAATGTACTAACTTCTCAAGCAGTATACTCAGGTAAAATATAAATGCCAACTTTAAAAAACTTTAAAAATTCAAGATTAAATCAAAGGAGTTTAAAATAAACTTTTAGTGATTTGTTGAACTTTAACATAAAATTACTTTAACATAAAAATTAAAATATTTAATACGTGGTATAGCCATGCTGCAGTTATATTAGTAGTATAGTTGTACCATGAATGGGTCATTGTATTTTGATGGAAATCAATTTTCTCTTTTTGTAACGTTTATCCATTTGTTTTTCATATTACCATATTTGGAAACCTATAGGGAAAAATCATACAGTTTAAATAAAATAATACTGTGATCGTCCTTATCCAAAGGTCATACAGGAAAAGAATAATTATAATTAATATTATAAAGTGTTACTAAGAATAGTAAATAATAATCTACTACTCTTAGTATTCATATAGTTCATATACCTGAAACTTCGGTTACGATCGCAGCGATACACAACGTAGCGGGAATCAATGAAAATGAATTCATTGTTTGCTATGTCGGCATGCAACCACGTCTCGGTTAGTATAACAACGTCGTAGGAATGCATCAAAATATTCATGTATATCGAATTAAGTTTGGTTCTCAGTCCGCGGCAATTTTGATAGTAAAATATATCTATTTATGTATATGTATTCAAATTATTGTATTTTACAGTAGACTATTAAAAATATTACTAAGAAAATACTATTTGAAATAATGAGTGCATATTTATTACGTATATAGGAAATAATAATGATTTTATTGTAACGCATGGAATGGTGTGAAAAACGGAGTACCTACCAGAAGTATGATTTGACATTTCAAGGTTATGAAAGATTAATACGATGAAAAAACAATGCCATTCCATTATGGAAAAAAAAATAGTAAAGTTAAGATAGTAATAATATTTATGCATTGAAAAGTGATACAATTTAATATTATTATAAAAAAAGAGCTCAAACAGTTTATTATTTAATATTGATGTTACCAAGATAAAGAATTTATTTATTAAAATTGTAGGTACCCGTTTATGAGTCTGCCAGTTTATTGCATTAATATGGAGCATATTATGTACTATTATAACTAATATCATTACACAATTATTATTTTTAGTTAGTATAATTTAAGTAGAAATATAGATTACCTTTTATTTTAATTCAGTTGTATTACAATTGTTTTATTTTTGTTTATTTAATTATAGGATAAGTAATACTTACATATACTTAGAAATATAACATAAATATACTACAGTACCTAAATATAGTACAGTTTAATACAGTATACGTTAATACAGTACAATATTTTTTTTTTATTCTTAGAAAAAAGGGCTTTGTCGCTGAAGCGATTATGACACCCTGGTACAAGAAAATTCTTAAATAGGATAAATACTACTTAACAACTATATTATAAACTTTTTAATTACTTAATCTCTTATTTACTAACACATAAAGCTTTTTGGCATCCTCTGATAACGGGTCTGATAAAATACTATTAATACTGCCAATCAATGATAAATGTATATTACAATTTTTTCTTTTTCTGGAGTTCTGGACACATTCTATCAATATGTGATAAACATCATCGATAATGTTAAAGCTTTGTGGCATCTTCTGATAATGGGTCTGATAAAATACTATTAATACTGCCAATCAATGATAAATGTATAGGTATTACAATTTTTTCTTTCTCTAGAGTTCTGGACACATTCTATCAATATGTGATAAACGTCATCGATAATGTTGCAAGTTGAACAGTTTGGTGAGGTAGTTTTTCGCATCAAGTATGAAAATTTATTGCATGAAATGTGACCAGATCTGAGTCTTAATGCTATTACAGTGTCGTGTCTACACTACGAGCACTGTGTCTACACAATATTCGGTTATGTATCCAGTTGAGCGCATTGGGTACGGCTGGATCGAACGGCACCATATACCCTTCTCTTTTGCTCTTATATCAAAATATTCCTTCCAAAGGTCATAACAATATTTTTTTAAATAACGGTATATAATTTTGAAATGAAGGGGTAATATTAATATCAGTGCCTTCCGAAATAGCTTGTTTGGCCAAAATATCAGGTTTTTCATTACCCTCTAAGCCAATGTGCGAAGGTATCCATTGTAAATATACTATTATGGAGTCAACCTGCAACTTAACTAGAAGCTTCAAAATCGCATATGCTACTGGTAAGCCTCGAAAAACCGAAGTACACCGACATTGAGCTAATATGTACTACGTACTAGAGGCGACACTGCATTCAGCTACTATGTTCCATTCAACTGCGGTCAGGGTTGGATTTTGTACGATAATTATCGTATTTGTACGATAATTTGTCAATAAGTACGATATACTATCCTAATTTAATGATCGTACGCAAAAATACGATAATTTCTAGGCTGAAAAACTATTTTAAAAAATTACCTTAAATAATCTTTTTCTATATAGCAACATTGAACTCCGTATCAAATGCATAGACATAGATCCCAGTATGCTTTATGCTCGGGACTTTTCCGAAATGTATAGCAGTTTACACACTATCCCAAATGAATGAATGAAATGTACATTTATTTCTACGCTCAAGTTCACTCACTTTAGTTCTATAGTTCTATTCCACCCCGTCATTAAGAAACAACTAATATATTTTTTAATTTCTTGACTTGTGAACCCGAAGAGCAATCTTAATGACGAGTGAAAGTGACACTGATAAAGCTTCGGCTTCCACTCCAAAAAAGCAGCGCCTAGTAAGAGGTGATTTGGTGAAAAAAAGAGAAGCACCGATTAAAAAAAATATAGAGTTGGGTGGGAAAATCACCCAATATTTAGCAGGTGGGTTGCTCGTGACAATTTTGATGTATATAAAGCACGGTGTAAAGTATGTGAAACATCCATAACGGCCGATAAACAAGTTCTAGTGAAACACTCGGAAGGTAAAAAACATTTGAAAAATTTATCTGTAGTACGTGGATCCAAATCAGTTACGTCTTATTTTGCAAGTACATGTAGTTCGTCATCGGAAACAAACACAAAAAAATGGCTACGGTTGCAGAGATCAAGCTGGCTGCTTATTTGGCCGAACATAACATAGCCTTCAACGCAGCAGATCATCTGGGTACTGCTTAAAGAATGTTTCATAGATTCAAAGGTCGCAAAAGAAATTAATCTAACTAGAAAAAAATGTGCAAAAATAATATGCAATATTATAGCTCCTGGTCATAAAACAGTTATGGTGGTTAAGCTCACAAATACAAAATTTAGCATCATGACTGATCAGATCAGACAGTCAGATTTTATGATGAAACGGAAGGCAGAATTAAAAGTCAATTTTGGAATTTGCATGACATTTTCAGTGACAATGATACCGAAACAGCAAATACAGGAGCTACTGCTAGTACTATATATAACAAATTGATTAAATCATTTACAGAACACGGCATTCCTCTCAAAAATGTAGTTTGATTTGGATCGGACGGGTGTAATGTTATGATGGGGGCGAAAACTCTGTGGCAAGCAGATTTAGAAACGAATATCCAGGCATTATAATTATAAAATGTATTTGTGCAAGTGCAGCGTGTCACAAACCGCCCAATAGATGCGAAGAGAAAGCAAGAAACGTATTCAGATTTTTAAAAATGAGTTCAAATCGATACGCTCAGTTACAACAGTTTCAAGTATTTTTAGATCTAAAGCCTCAAAAAATGCTACATCCATCGCAAACTAGATGGTTATCTCTAGTTGATGTCGTTACAAGGATAATAACACATTGGGATGTCTTAAAGCTGTATTTTACCGACACGGCACTTTCTGAGCGTTTAGTATTAAGATCTGTACAAAGATATTCTGCTATGCTTCATGGACAGAAATTACTTTAACAGATCTGAATTAAGTAATATTGATACGGCAGATTCAAGACAGCATTTAAATATTGAACAACTATATCTTGGAATTGCTGTTGCATCAAAAATAAACACTTCTGAAATAAAAGCGGGTAAACAACAGCGCACAGAGTTCCTGCATAGGTGTAAAGATTTTCTGGTTAAAGCTTTCTTGCAAATAAAGAAAAGATGGGATTTCGAGAATGCACCACTGATTAAAATATCCTTGTTGGGTCCGAAAAATGCGATGAGCGAAGAAATAAGAAAAGATAACCCTTCAATCCTACCCATTGCGTAAGCATTTCCTAGGGTCATCGACGTAAATGATATAAATGTTTTGCAAATTCTGGATGATGAATGGCGTAAGCTACCCTTTGCAAAAATACCAGAAGAAATAAAAACTGAAAAGAAAGTAGATGTATTTTGGGCTAAACTTAGTAAATGGAGTGATCTGACAGAAAACAAGCCTTTCAGCGATATTTTCCAATTCGCGTTGGATTGTCACGTGCTTCCACACGCAAACGCAGATTGTGAACGAATATTTAGTGAGATCAATCTTACCAAGTCAAGGACTCGGAACAGACTAGTAACAGGAACTGTAGATGCAATCTTACTGTCATGCGATGCAATAAAACGCAACAAAAGTGGCAATTGCACCGATTTTGAACCTACGGAAGAAATGTTACGAAGAGCCAATAATAAAAGTAATGACGGAATGCAGTGTATTGACCAAGTTGCAGAAATTGATATAAATATACCATAATTCCAACTTAAGTGATAATTTAAAGTTGTATAATTGATTATTAAATTGTATACTTTCTTATTTTCTTAATTTATTATTCTTTTCAAATGTAATAAATAAAAACATAATCGCGTTATATTTAATTTCTCAGATGTACGATCTTTTTTTAATAAATACTATCTCTTTGAACGAAACGTACTATATTTTTTTACCTGTCCCGATTCCAACACTGACTGCGGTGCATACACCGCACTTTAATCAGTCACTCTCTAGGCGCATGTAGAGTTGACACGTGTTGTGTTGATTTAAAAAAAATCTCTTGATAAAAATATACCGTCATGTGTACTTATTGTAGATATTGCACAAATAATTCAAGAAATGTCAGTAAAAACCAAGGTATTACTTTTGATCGGTTAATAAGATACTTAATCAATAAAAAATTATTTCTCACGTAATATAGATTATTAAATTAATTTGTTCAGAGGCGACATTTCTGTGGGTACTTATATATGAGACGAATATATTATTATACACATTTTTTTTGTAGAAACATATATGAGTTAATTAGGCCAAATTTTTTATATTTAAATCTGCTAATTATTCTTATATTTTATTTTTAGGTTTCCACATCAAAGTCAAAGTGGAATAAATTCGTCAATTTTTAACTCTTGCATGCCCGTTATTTATGAACGGCTCTTATTCTAATTTAAATAAATATATTTGTAATTTAAATGTTATATTAACAAGTTTTGTTAAACATACATTTAGTATGTTTTTTTATATTTGAGATATAATATTATGTAATATTATATTAAATAAGCAAATATGATATACAAAATAAATGACAAAATTTAAAAAATTGTTCTCAATATAATTTATCTATTTAACAGTACAATCTTTTATTACCTACTGATCATTCTACCTATGTTTATTCTATGATAAGAAAACAAACCGCGCAAACACAGAGTAGCGCACATTTTCTGTTTGAAATAGCTATTCTAGTACGTAAGTACATATTACTTCAATGTACACCGAGCAAGGTGTTGAAGCGCACTCCTTGAATCTGTTAAAATAACCACATTGTTATAGTTACATGATTGTATATAAGATAAAGCTTCATAGATTGCTACAAGTTCAACTTCCATAATAGAAATATTAGTATTAATTTTTAACTTTATTGCCATATCATTTAATATATCGTAAAATGAAGCCATGTTTCCGAAAGTATCTTTCGAAACATCTGTAAATATCGGGTATGTTCCGAAATACAACGCAGTGTACTGTCCAATGCAAATGACGTCATGAAGCGACGCTGTACTGGTGATTCGTTCCAAAACATTGGACAGTATATGACGTCATACTTTTGCGCCATTTGGAAAAGTGTTGGCGATTATTTGTCATTTTGTGCTCCAAAAATCATTATATACTCCTACTGGATATACTATCAATTATTCTATAATTTTTGTATTTGAATAAATAGAAACAAATTCTGGCATGCTTCATTCGGCAAACACACAATTAAAAATTGTTTTATTATGGCCGGATATCCGACACAATATGGCGGCGGCACGCTAGTACAATAAAGTGTCAAATGTTGACGTCATGCGACATTTGCATTGGACAGTACACGGCGTTGGATTCGGATTTCGGAACATACCCATCCTCAGATAATTCGGGTAATGTTCGTTTAGGTAATTAATACACATGTTTTTTATGGTCAATACATGGTACTGATGTTTAGGGTTTAGAACTCCGTCTAAATTTGGTCTTAAAATATCTAAAAGGTTTAAACTAGTGATCCACTGATCCAGAAATAACATACCTAACTGTGAGCTTGAGTACATAAAAAGTGATTTGAAGTTGTCATGGAATATTGTTAATAATGGTTTTTTCTTATTATTCCAATATCTGTTTTGAATGGTATCGGATAGGTTAGAGATACGATTAATGGAAGAGTTATTTAACACGGATTTATTTTTTAACCAGAATTTGCCTGCAAGGTAGCGTCTTCTTAAATGTAATGGGCATAAGCTGAGATCGCTTTCCATTACGTGAATAGGGGTGCTTTTTTGTAACCTCCTATAGTTCTCATTGACTGATTTTGAATCTTTTCTAACTTAAATAAATTAGTCTTACTACTGTTATCATACAAAAAAGCTCGCATAATCTAACCGACTTCTTATAATACTAATAGAGGTTCCGTAAATGTTTAGGGTGGACACCACAGCCCGAACCTGATAAAACTTTAAATACATTTAAAAATTTTAATACTTTTTCAGATGTTTCCTTTATATGTTTATTCCACCGCAGTGATCGATCCAGTCACATTCCAAGGTATTTTACGCTATCTACTACTTCCAAAGCAACATCTTTAATTTTTAGACTAATGTTATGTTGTCGACGCCCTCTTGAAAAGGTGCATATTTTACTTTTTAACGGTGAGATATCCAAATTTATAGTTAAAAATAAATCATTTAAAATGTCTAATGCCAATTGCAGTTGATTTTCCGCCTCTTTCAAGTTTTTAGAAGTTTTAAATATGACATAATCATCAGTATACTGGGAGATATTAAGATGTGTTTTGGAAATTATAGACTTACATATATCTATTGTAGCTATGTTAAACAATAGCGGAGAAAGTGGATCTCCTTGTGCTAGACCGTGATCTGTACTTCTAGTTATTTTATAATCTATCCATATAACATAACATAAACACTCACGCCTGTCACCCAGAGGGGTAGGCAGAGACTACAGACTTCCATTTGGCACGATCCTGACACACCTCTCTCGCCTCCTTCACATCCATACATCTACGCATACATGCTCGTCGGTTAAGGGTACTCCTAATTTGGCCCGTTTTCAATAAATCGCCAATTTGGTCGATAAACTTTCGCCTAGGACGTCCCTTTCCGACTCTGCCATTCACTTCTGCAACATAAATTTTCTTTGTCACTCTTTCCTCATTCATTCTTTCCACATGACCAAACCACCGTAGCATTCCTTTCTTAATCCTGGTCACGACATCATCTTGCAAACCACACTCTTCTAAATATATCCCTTCAATTATTAAAAATCTTTGGCTTAAATAAGTCCAGAGATAGTTGCAAAATTTTGCTCCAACATTAAGACGATCGAGGGTCGATAAAAGATAATTTATGTCCACATTATTATATGCGTTTTCTAGGTCTCAAAAGCATGCCACCTACTTTATTTTTGGTAAAACCTATTTAAATGCTTATAACTAAATCGGTTAAATTATCGTGACAGGAACGTGATTTTCTGAATCCTTTAGTTTCCTCAGAAAGTAGTTTTTTGTTTTCAATATACCACTCTATACGGTTATTGATAATGGCATGAAATACTTTACATAATGATTTCTTATATTTACGCGAACACTACACATTGAAATAATAGTAGTTTTTACGAAATTCTAAAATTCAGTTCACAATGGAGTTAGAGGCAAACAATTACTTAGCTTTTCTAGATGTGTTAGTAATTCGCAATCCTGATAACACCTTGAGCCATACTGTGTATAGAGAAAAGACCCATACAGATAGATATTTAAACGGTGATTCTCACCACCATCCTTCACAGTTAGCTACCGTGGGTAAATCTTTGTTTCAGAGAGCACGAGGGATCTGTGACAGTAAACACCTGGCTGCAGAGCTCCACCATGTCAAGCAAGTTTTGCATGACAACAAGCTTCGAGTCCCGCGCCTACGTCACAGTGAACGAGTGAAGCCGGCCACAGTCGAGCGTGTACCTGCTGTACTGCCATATGTTAGAGGAGTCACTGACAAGATTGGCTACATCTTGAAGCGCGCTTCCATCAAAACATACTTCAAGCCGCTGAAGAAGATTGGTCAGTTTTTACCATCGGTCAAGTGTAATGTCCCTCTGCAAGATGCAGGAGTGTACAAGCTTGATTGTGAATGTGGTCTCTCCTACATAGGACAAACTAAAAGATCAATAAAAACCCGCGTTAAAGAACATATAGCTGATGTGAAGAATCGACGCTCCGGGAAGTCTGCAGTCTGTGAACACGTACAGGATCGCCCCCGTCACTACATCAGATTTGATAGACCGCAGATCCTCGCTAAAGAACACCGATTCCTTCCAAGGATGATTCGCGAGGCTATTGAAATCAAAAAACATCCTAATTTCAATAGAGAAGATGGCTGGGTGCTACCATCTGCTTGGGATCCTATAATAAATAAAATTAAATCCCAACCCAAGCATACAACTGCAAAACTTCAAGATACCATAAGTTCATACTGCATAGATCGGAACAAAAGTTAAATTTTAATCTATGGTAACCGCGGTTAACTATGATATATGGACGTTGAACATCTCAGTCCTGCCCGTGACCATGAGTGCTGTAAAGCGTTCGAAACGTCGGGTATTTAAAAAGTTAAAATATACGCGATAAATTCCGTAAAAACTAGTATTATTTCAATACTTTACATAAGCACGAAATAAGAGAAATAGGTCTAAGAGATGAAGTACAACTAGTGTTCCTACCCGACTTAGGTATAGGTATAATGCGAACATG